CTTTTGAACTTCAGAAGCCTGATGATGGCAGATGAGATTCTGCCGAAATGTTGCTACAACTTTAAAAGCACAACTATAATGACGTGGGAAAATACCCGAGCAAAGCTGAATACTATACATGTAAGTACCCGCGAAAACTTAAGAAAACACACACACACACACACACACACACACACACACACATATATTCTTAAGTTTTCGCGGGTATTTATTTGTATGGTATTCAGCTTTGTTCTGGTATTTTCCCACATCATTATCGTTGTGCTTTTAAAGTTGTAGCGATGTTTTGGCAGAATCTCATCTGCCATCATCAGGCTAGCTTCCTAATAAATGATAGCTGTCCGTTTACCCGAAGCCCAGCCGCACTAAAAGCCTCCAATACAGGAAACACAGTGTTGCCAGCCAATCAAGACCCCCCCCCCTCAAAATGCTACAAAACAGACAGAAGATATTAGAAACACCAATCAAGCAGAACACAGCAAACTCCAAGACCAATAAACACAGACCAAGACTCCCAACCAATCAGGATGAAGAAAAAACCATTCTAACACAGCAGGCTAACACCAAATTTAATAATAGTAGTAGTAGTAGTAGTAGTAGTAGTAGTAGTAGTAGTAGTACTTTATTTGTGGTCACAGACCAAAACACAAGTACAACAAAAGAAGAACATGGGAAAATTAATCATGAACAATTGGTCACCAAAAACTTGACTAAGGGGAATTACAGAGTTCTCCTCTGAAGGTTACAGCTCTTAAAAATATTTGGAAACCAAAGAAGTGATATATGAGGAGCCATCCCCTAGACAATATAAGAACAAATTACTAACATTGGGTCTAGAAGGGTCTGTTTCAAGGAGAGACAGTAACTTAGATCTGCCTGCGTTATACATAGGGCGATACAAAAGGACACACTCCACGGTTTCAACCTCAGCTCTGTCACAGCGGCATAGCCGCTCGTTAATCGGAAGCCTCTTAAATCGCCCATCCAGTAATGCTGAGGGCAGAACATTAAAGCAAGCTAGGGAGAAAGCTCTTCTACACTTGGGAATGGTTAGAGTGTAACAATAGGAAGCCATCCTCAGTCCGTAATTATCAAGTTGGCTGAAGATCAGAAGGGAGCAAGTTTTGTTAGCTTTGGCTCGTAGATATTACAAGTCAATGTCTATATATATAAATAATTTTCTTATGTTTTTGCAGGTATTTATATATATGGTATTTGGCTTTGTCCGGGTACTTTCCCACGTCTGTATAGTTGTGCTTTTAAAGTTGTAGTGACATTTCGGGAGAATCTCATCTGCCATCATCAGGCTCACACACAACGAAGTCGAACCCAATACACAAGCTGATAATGGCAGATGAGATTCTGCCGAAACGTCGCTACAACTTTAAAAGCACAACTATAAAGACGTGGGAAAATACCCGAACAAAGCCGAATACCATACATACATATACATACATACATACATACATACATACATGTATGCATATAGATCAGGGGTGGGCAAACTTTTTGGCTCAGGGGCCTCATTGACTTTTAAAATTTGACAGACGGGCTGCCACCTGGTGTCGAAATGCCTGTCATTACAAGTCAAAATCAAATGAATGCAATCATTCAATCATTCACATCAAACCTTAATTCTGTACCAATCTTCGGCGGGCCGGATTAAAAAGACCAATGGGCCGGATGTGGCCCCCGGGCCGTAGTTTGCCCACCCCTGATATAGATATATAGATGTATAGATGTATATGTGTATATGTATATATATGTATGTATGTATGTATGTATATGTATATGTGTATATATGTGTGTGTGTGTATAAATATATTAATAACATGTATATTAAAAGCAAAAAGAAAAACCCTGTGAAACCTACAACAGAGGAATGGTTAATGAAGGTGATGGAACTGGCCACTCAGGTTACATGAATGTTCCTTGTGAGAGAAAAATCTATAATTCACTGAAATATCTATAATTGCAAGCCTTTTGTGGATTTTCTGCAGGAGATTAAAAAAAGAAACAAATTATGACATATGGATTTCATGATCATTAACATTTTTAAAAAATATTTTTTGTGGGAAATGGACATATTATAGTTTTGAATTAAGAACTGAATGTATTTCTTTTATACTTAGAAGTCAGAAATTGTGTGTGTGTGTGTGTGTATTCTTTATACATTTCTACACCTCTATTTCTCTCTCTTTTTCTTCTTTCTTCCTGATAGTTTTAAAATTTTGTATGATTTCATGTAATAAACAATTCAATAACATTATTATACAGATGAAACTTTGCTAGATCACTTCCCTAATATATATTTCTTGTCTGAAAACATTCCTTTACTTGAAGTTTCCTGTTGCAATCAGCACAAATTATAAAGACATCTTCTTTCTCCTGTTTCAAAATAGATAATCCTATTCATGCAATCTAGAATTTATTTTTGCAGCCACATTGCATGCTGATTCATAATCAGAGTATGACGAGTACAAGATTCCCCTTTGGTCTGAGGTAAATTTACCATATATGCCCGTGTTATGTACATTAGATTTCATTCTGTGGTTTGCAGTCCATCATTCAAATCAGTTCAAAATCATTCTGGATTTTATCATGGCTTTCCAAAGTGTCAACAATCCCATTCAGTAATGTGTCTTTCGCAAAAAAAATTTAAAAAAACATACTACTGGCCCAAGCCATTAAACCTTTGAAGGCCAAACCACGGAATGCGGTGTTGTTGTTTCAACCATTTAGTTGTGTTCATCTCTTGGCAATTTTATAGGCAAGATGCCTGTGGAATGAATTTGCACAGCCATTTGTCTGAAATGGTGTAGGGTTTTCTGCTCAAGCAGATAGTTGGATTAGAACAGTGGTCTCCAACCAGTGGGCTGGGGACCACTGGTGGTCCATGAGAAAATTTTGGTGGTCCACAGAGAAATGTCACCCCAAAAGCACTCCCCAAAGCAATTAATCCAGGCTGTGCAGGAACACAAGGCTTGCATCGCTTGCATTGCAAACAACATGAGGTAGTGAGGGGAGGTGGGAAAGGTCGGGGGGGGGGGAACTTGCCCCATTTGCCCCACGCGCCTGACCTGGCCACTGGGCTGCTTCTTTCTGCTTCTTTCTTCTTCTGCTTTTGGCTGCACGCAAGGAAAGCAGCAAAAGTCTTTCACTCTTTCTCTTTCTCTCCACCAGAAATGAGTCTTTGGGACCCTGCAAGGCCTCCTGCTCCAAGAGGCTGTGTCAGCCTGACAAGTCTCACAAAGACTCATTTCTGGTGGAGTTTGGGGGAGAGAAAGAAAGACTTCTGCTGCTTTCCTTGCATGAAGCCAAAAGTCTCTCTTTCTCTTTCCCCGAGAACAGAGCTGGAGACGGTATCCTGTGATCCCAAATAAAGAATGATCAGTAGGAAAACGAGGTGGGAAATTTTTCTGTAGACTTTTTGGGGATTTTCCCAGGGTCTCTTGGTCCACGGGATTTAAAATTATGAGTTTGGTGGTCTCTGAGGTCCAAAAGGTTGGTGATCCCTGGACTAGAAGACCTTCAAGGTGCCTTCCAATTCAGTTATTCTATGTTTTCTATGATTGCTAAGATGGTGACCACAAAGAATACAACCAAAGCCCTGCCCCCTTTTTTAAAAGGAGGGTGGGATTTTAATTACACAGTTACAGCATATATTTTTCCACAAGTTGAAAGGAATAGAGAAAAAAAACAGAATGTCCAGAATAATTAATATAGCTATCAACATACCCACATTTAAAAATATTTTTTTGCTTTATATGAATTATATGGTGCTAAACAACAGGATTAATGTTGGAATATCCACTAAGAAACAACAAATTCCAAAATCTCTGTATTGCTTGAAAGTCTTCCTCGTCTCTTTCCAAATAGTCCTTGACTTGATTAATTGCTCTCATTAGTTTAATGGCCATTTGAAGTTACAATATCATTGAAAAAAGTGACTTTTGATTCCTCCTCCTATTGATAGTGCAATTATATTTTTGGAGCAGAGAAAGACTTGCACAAATTTAGTCGCTCTGCAAATTTTACCTTGCTCTTCTTCCTCTTTGATATCATTGCAACTGATTCTGTAGGAGATGACCTGGCTGAGCCCAAGGGCGGGGTCAAATGCATCAGTCTGGAGTTGTTACACCACCATAAATAAACCCATGGTCCTTTTGAATTCTATCCTGGTTTGATGGCCTCTCCTTCACAGCTTGTGTTTAAATTGAAACAAACAAAAACCCTGTCCTTCTTTAGCATTAAAAACTTAGAATAACTTTATTGTCACTTTGAATGTACACAAATCGACATACGTTAAAATGAAATTTCACCGTGTACAGCTTTCCAAGGGTCACCACCTCCAATATATATGCTATATAAACAGGACAAAAATATAAAAGCAATGAAAGAAAGAAAGAAAAAGGAAGGGTGGGTGGGAACGAGAAAAGAGAGAGAAAGAAAGAAAGAAGGAAGGAAGGAAGGAAGGAAAGAAAGAAAGAAAATAAAGAAAGGAAAAAAAGAAGGAAGAGAAGGAAGGAAAAGAAGGAAGGAAAAGGAAGGAAGGAAGGAAAGAAGGAAGGAAGAAAAAAGAAGGAAGGAAAGAAGAAGGAAAGAAAGGAAAGAAAAAGAAAGAAGGAAGGAAAGGAAAGAAAGAAAGAAACAAAGGAAGAAAGAGAATGAAGGAAAAGAAAGAAGGAAGGAAAAGAAAGAAAGAGAAGGAAGGAAGGAAGGAAGGAAAGAAAGAAAGAGAGAGAGAGAGAATATACTGTACCTACATATATTATACGACGCAGAGAAACAAGTTCGGATGCACACATTGTACAGTGGCGAGAAAAAACTGTAAACCCTGCATCGTTTAATCCCTAACCACGATTCCTAATCTTTTTAAAAAAGAAAACTCGCGTGGAGGCCCTCGCGACGAAGAACCGCGTCCGCCCGCGCGGGGCTCTTTTATCAGGCACGGAACTTTCCCGGCCTTTCTTTGTGTGTCTCCCCTCCCTACACACACACACCTGAAATGGGAGTCACACACTATATTTCCTTGCTCGACTTCGTGCCGGAGAAGCCAATCAGCCCGCAGCTTTCCTGGCTTCCTGTCTCTCGTAGGTGTGTTCCTCCGTTGGCTCACCTGGAAAAGAAAAGAAAAAAGAAAAAAAAAAAGCGAAGAGCGCCCGACGCCCCGGGGAAAGCAAAGAAGGAGCAGGCGGGCCAGGGAGCCACCGCCGAAAACCTCCCCCGGAGAACCCCATGGACGCACCGGCCTCCTCGCCCTCAAGACCGAGGAAGGGGACGCGCTTCAGGTAAGCTGGCTCTGGATTTAAAAAACAAAACAAAACTTTCGGCCAAGTTTGTCCCGCTGCCAAGTTCCAGGGTGAATCACAGCAAAAAGACGCGCGGGGCCTCGCGTAGGAATTCCAGGTAAGCTGCTGCGTCAGGTCGAGCCCGGAACCTAATTTGTGGCAGTTTACAGGTAAAGAAAGGGAACGAAGTATGAAAAAGGTTCATTCTTTCTCTGTCTGTTCCCCCACCTCCCTTCAGCTGCAGAGACGTTCCCCCTCCCTCTTGTAAAGGATTGTGATAAGGTGTGTTTGTGTTTGTTGGTTTCCTTCTGGGTTTCCCCTCCCTCCAGTTTGTGAATTATCAACAACTAGCAGGGTACCCGTGCTTCGCTATGAAACTATGTGATCGAGCGAGTTTGGGGGGAGGAAAATAAGTGGGGGTGGGGAGAGAGAAATTCTGCCTCTGTCTATCAGCATCCATAGAGGGTTCCTGTCAGTGTGTGAGAGAGTTGAGGGCTGTTTGGAAAGTGAAACGGTATTTGCTGTGTGAGCAAGAAGGAGACAGCAAGGAGCCTGGGGCGTGGCTTAGCTCAGCTGTTCTGTAGTGAAGCTGCTTGGTGCTGTGAAATGGAAATGGAAACTCCACTCCTCTGCTTGTGTTTTGCATTTGGAACAGATTTCTTTTCAGGTGGGGAGGCGGAGTAGCATCAGAGTGTGTTAATAAAAATAATATACGAAATACGAATGCTCTGACGGTCATTTTGAAAAATCCTTTCTTAGTGAGCACTAGAAGCCAAGAGGAACATAAGTGCCAAATTTCAAGTTTGTTGGTTTTACGGTTCTGGTTATTTTGTGATGATGCCTGAGTGGTATTTCTCATAGATGGATGGATGAATGGATGGATAGAATAGAATAGAATAGATAGATTAGATAAATTGGATAGGATAGATATAGATGATAGATTGGATGGATGGATGGATGGATAGATAGATAGATAGATAGATAGATAGATAGATAGATAGATAGATAGATAGATAGATAGAT